TGTGTGTGTGTGTGTGTGTGTGTGTGTGTGTCTGTGTCTGTGTCTGTGTCTGTGTCTGTGTCTGTGTCTGTGTCTGTGTGTCTGTGTGTTTTACAGGAAATTTAACCCAAGGTTAACCAAGTAGTTTCCCACTGAATTATGCTATTGTAATTTTTTTACTTTTTATCTTGATGATAGCACACTAACCTATCCAGGCTTACCTTTATTTCACCCTCTAAATTAGATAGGCTTTGAACTTGCCACCTGCCTTACAGTCCCAAGTAATTGTATTGCTAGGTCTGTAACACTAAGCCAAGCTTTGTTTTTTTTTTTTTTAATTTGGTTTTTTTTTTGTCACTGTCTTGTCTTTCACCTTCCAACTCATACCTCTTCCCTTCTCATACCATGGATAGCCCTATCTAAAGCAAATCAATTTTTACTTAAACAGTATTCTACATAACGTCCACTCCCCACTCCATCTTTCTTTCAGCTCTACTTTGTGACTCTTCTCAGGGCAAGAGGAAGTTTGTTGAGAAATCTCACTTCTTTCTCAAAGCATTATGAATGTACATATGAAGTAGTTTCTGTCTTTTCAAAGTCTGTGTATAATACCACTGAAATATTTGGGTAAGTTGCATTGGTCATCTTCTTTAACTCCTCAATTCTTTTTACAATGCGAAGACACATGATTCTCTTTGTTGTTAATTGAGGGAATGTGGAGAAACGAAGAAAAGTGGAGGGAATGGGAGGGGAGGAGAAAGGAAAGAAGGAACTCTTTATGTACTTTGGAATGAAACTCCCTTGTAACGAAATTGTTTGGGACCAGGTTTGCATTGCTTCCGTTTCCCCCATGTATTTCATGTCAAATCAACTTCCTTGCTTTTCATGAGAACTACCATGTTGTCTATGTATTCTGTATATGCATAGGATCAGATTAGATTTCAAAGAGGTGCTCCCATTTTGAGATGACTCCAGAAGTCAAAAGTCAAAATAGTACACAAAAGTGATTGATAGTCCTCCCTGTTTCACCCCCACTGATGCTGCCAAGTCCATGATCAAAAGCTCAGCATTTTTTTCTTTGACAAATGCTAGCTACACATAATTAGTGACAGAGACAACTTCTTCTTCTCCATCTCACTCACAAGCCTCCACAACCTGGGTCCTACTCAGTAGAAACCTCAGCTTCCTTCATGAAACAGCTGTGCATCCAGCCCTGCAAGCCTTGAAAACACAATTTATCTTATTCTGCTCTTTAGAATTAATCCCTGTGCTTGAGGAGAGAATGTTTATTGAAATTTCCCTAGTAAAGTGAGTCACAAATTCAGGGAACCTCCTACACTGGAACCACCAGAAATGTCTCCTATTCTTGCATGTAAAAATCTTTACAGATTACTTATCTGAACACTCACATACCACAAATTGGGAACTGAAGCCCAGAGAGTAATGATGGCTTGTCAAAAGTAACATATATCAAGTCAATGGCAGAACAAACACTGGAAGTCAGACCCATTGATTTTTAGCAGTATGCGTACTTTGCTGCAGACATCTTCTGAAAATGGTCTTTGCCCATAAAGTATGATGTCTTTCCATGCAGGGTAAGCCAGTAAGTTATCCCTAGATAGAGATGCACCCCTCCTATGATTCTGAGGAAAAATGGGTTGACAATATGGCTCTTGTTATTTAGCTCACTGGTTGGTGAGTGAAAAGTTAAAGAATGAAAGTAAGTATCTCCAGAACCAAGGGGAGAGTACGGAATTTCTCTAGAGAAGCTTGCCAAAATATGTTATGAAATGTTAGACTCTGCAGAGAGATATTGAAGATGCTTCATTCTATAGTTCTGTATTAGAAGTTTACCCCAGTACAGCATTAGAATATTAAAGGCTCAGAAAATTCTGTTAAAAAAGACCTGTGTGAACAAATATTTCCAAAATCTATTTCCTTCTGAGTCTATTTTTTCTTTTTGCCCTCCTGCCCCAGACCTAATTCTTTTTTCTCAGAGAAAAAAAATCCCTTTTGGTGACCACCCTGTATGCACTATAGTATTGGAATAGCCACAGTTTGATTTTTTTTTTCACAAAACCCTGATTGGTATTTGACCTATATAGCCAAAAGTTATGAACTAGTAAAACATCAATTAATTGGTAAACATTTATTAAATAATTAAAATGTTGGACAATGGTAGGAGAGACAGCAACCAAGCAAGTATAATAAGGTCTAGACTCTTACAATATAATAGGGAATTCAAGAACATACCATGGTAAAATAAATTCACTGACTTTAGAGGATGTATTGGGTGGTAGGACATAGAAGAGCACATATCAGTATGTGTTTAGCCAAGGAGTAAAGAAAAATATAAGATAACTTTCAATAGTGCCCAGAGAAATTAGAATTTGGCAGGGTCTGAAAGTCCAGGAAAGATAAATAAGAAGGTTGTTTTAAGGAGGATAAAAGCAAAGAGGAAAAGAGAAAATGTAGGTAAGATTAAGATGTGTTCCAAAGGCCAGACCATGGATATTTATTTCCTACTTTCTCATAGAATTCATGATGCTTGTATGAAAATTCTGCTGTCCTGGCTGCAAGAAGGGGAATGTGAAAGAAGACATTAATAATAAATCAAATAATACTCTCATTCCCAGTATCCCTTATGCATTTTCAAGACCACTGTGCATTTTCACAATGTACAGAGATGCATACCAGACTTGTAGGCTGCAGAGTTGCATCGTTCCTACTCTGATGTCCTCTGAATAATGTTATAGTTCCCTCAAAGCCATAGAATAACCCCAAAGAGCTTCATGTTTCATAAGCATTTGTATATAGTCAGCAGTGTATTTGCTCTGTCCTGGACCTGGAGCTGATAGGCATGAGCCACACTTGGGGTATTTGACAAACTGACACTCTACCACACAGAGTGTCCAACTCAGCTTGTCAAATACACGGAGCGTGACACTGCTGAAGGCCAGATCAGGAGCCTCCACGGGGCAGCAAGAACATGCTGGAAGATGTGCACCTGGAAAGAGAAAAAATGGGGTGATTATGTTTTTCCCTGAGACTGAGACAAATAGCGAACACTAACATAACCGGCTAAGACACCAAAAGAGGGAAGTGAACAAAAGAGGCTAAAGCTCCAAACCAAAACAGGGATCTTGAGTCTTTGTCTGGAGATTCTAGTAGCCCAAGCCTCAATTAACTCTTCTATTCAGGTGAACAGGAAAATTTTGTCATCATTCTGCCTCCATGATGTGAAAAGCGTCAGAAACAATATCTGTGTTCCCTCCTCCTACCAACTTCTTTTACACTATGTTCATTCTAGTTACATACCTAAATATTGATTTTAAAAACTAGACTTAAATTCTATCTCTACCATTAACTAGCTGAACACCTTAAATAAATGAGTTTATGTCCCTGAAACCTAGTTTTTTATAGCCACAAAATGTGCTAGAAATCATGGTAAGAATATGTGATAATGCATATAAAGCCATTAATTTAGTATTTGTTACCTAACAAATGCACAAAAATTGTGGTTGTAGCCAGATATGATAGTACATGTGTGAATGGAAGCTTTCATAGACAGAGGTAGGAGAAACTCAGGCTTAAAGTCAATCTAGGCTATGTAATATGACCCTTTCTCAAACAAAAAAGAAAACAAGGTCTACGGATAAAACTCAGTGGCAGAATACTTACCTAACATGTACCTTTGTATTTGATCTCCCATACATAAATAAAAGTGACTAAGATGTGTTTTAAAATTAAAATAAACAAATAAACAATAGCAGGGGAAAAGATTGATAATTTTTTTAACAGAATTGAAACAGTAATTTCTTGTGGCCTTAGCTGGCTTTGTCTAACTTGGTTGCCCTTTCTCATAAATAGTAAAGAATTAATACTATCAAAATACCCTTATAAGTCACCTAGTTTTATAGATTAAAGATTATAAATGAGAAAATGAAGTCTGATGTTTAGGGAGAGACTTGCAAAAGGAAATAAAGTAAGTTGTTTACAGTTTGGGAGTTATAACATCCATCAGCTCATTGTGCCCCTTGGCTGGCCACCCCACCACCTTTTTTGTCTGCTTTTTCTATTCCCCTGCAAAGAGAAAGGAACAGCAACAAAGAGGAAAACAGGCAGTGGATTTTGCAGGGAAGCATTAGGATGTTTGAACTCATAGCTACCATGGCAGTGAAGTAGCTGCTATAAGACTCAAGCTGTCACAATTTATTTGATATTTTGTGATCATGATCCTGTTACTCAAAAAGCTTGACAGTATCAAATTCTGTCCTACCAAGATCTAATGTTTTCTAAGGCTTCAATTGTCTTCTCTAGAAATGGAGACAGAAGTCTTACATCTCAAGGTGCTTGGAAATTGTTGGATGAGATTTCTAGAGCTTTTTATAAGGATGCTTAAAGAGACCTTATTTCAAACTCTGGAGCTAGTAAAAGCCAAGGAAAGTGATTAAAAGAGAAAGGAGTAATGGACTATTGGTTTTAGTTTTCCTGTAACTACCTCTGCATATCACCTGCTGTAAGAAAAGCTGGACCCTTTGGAGGTATCCATAGCCTCTCAATTACCCTATCTGACCTCACATACTCCACAAAAAATAGAAAAGAGCTATGTACAAAAGTGGCTAAAGAGTCCTAGTGCACTGACTTAAGAGATTATTATGAATACTGTTTTCCAGGATTGATGGATAGAGTCAGTCCTTAAGCTGGATATACACGTTTCATTTTCATTCTTGATGTTCCAGCTCACACCTATTCAGAGAAATTTACAGAAGGAAATCAAGTTTAGTTGACTAAGTTTAGTCAGACTCATAGAGTGAAGACATAGATGACTACATGGGGTGATAATTGGAGGACTCGAAGCTCTTCTATTTGTCATTTATCTGATTTGAAATAGCATGAGAATTTATTTCCATGAGAGTGGAAAATATTCCATTGGATAGCTCCACAAAGCTGCTCCTAACGAGAACTAGAATATTCTTCATGAAGGAAATTGGAAGACATAAGCTTGGTAAAAGAAGTATAAGATTTTACCAAACAAATCTATAAATGTCCAGAATAAGCCACATATCCGAAAATATATTTGGTGGTAAAGAAGTACTCAGGACCATGTCCAAATATCTAGATTTCTTCCACTATAAGGACAGTCACCTGCCTCAGTTGCAGAATACCCATTATTTCTTGGTATCTCAGTCCTCCTAAAGCAAAATAAAAAGAGCACTGGCCTGGGATTAGACTGAGTTGTGCTACAGGTTTTCTGTGTGGTCTTAGGCAACTACCTTTTCTTCTCTCTGGACCTTTGTTCCTCACATATATACTTGTTCTATTTACACTTCCAAATTTTATCCTATATGACTTTTTAATTCTGGAGTAATGACTTATAAGACCAGAAAAGAAAGACCCTTTCATCTTTCAGTCATACCTTTCAGGTCACCAGCAGTTTTCTAAGGGATGTTCAGCTCTGCCTAGAGGTCTACATTCAAGCAGCAGTCTCATCTTCTTTCCCAGCCAAAGGCTGGTAACCTTCAAAATAAGTGACATAGAGACTAAGACATTAGACAACATCTCACCTTTGTCTTTTTCTTCTCTGCAAAAGAGACTTAAGCACTGAGTACTAGACTGCAGAAACAACTTACCCAAAGAAAAGTAACAGATATAGGACAAAATTTAATATGCCATTCAGAACTCCTAGCTCCTAGCTCTAATGAGCATTTAACTTCTATATGACTATCTTCTAAAAGCTATTATTGTTAGAAATTATTGTGTGCCTTGTCTCTATCACATGCTCTAGGATAGAAAGCCAATAGAAAATTTCATCAGTCTTATCTTTGACTTTTTATCAATACTAGGATCTGAGTCAGTTAGACATATCCAGAACACTGTTACCTGTTGTGGGAAGTGTTTCAGTATGGAAATCTAAGAGAACAAGTAGATACTATACCTGTGATTGAAGTGGAGCCTTTGTCTTGGATGGGATATAGATGCTGAGCCGAACTATAGAGGCCACAGAAAGCTGAGTTTTATGTTGAGAGCAGGAAGGTCACATGTTCTGAAGGACTCTTGGTGTCATGAAGAGGAAACAGAAATGAGGAAGATAAAGTTGAGGCTAACCAACGGAAATCTGGGTACAAAATGACAAAACAGAGCTATTGTGAAAGGAGTAGTTGCTAATGCAGCAATAGCCCCTACTGCTCTGTCCCCACCCATTCTCAACCAACCTCCAAAAACACTGACTTCCCATGCTACAGAGTGGGAAAGTGGGAAGTTACAAGTTGCTTTTGGGTTCTGCCCAAGAGGCAAGGAAGTTTCCCTAGAGCAATTGAGGGAATCTTCAAATATTAGAGCGATGACACTATCTAATGAAAATTTATTGTCAAAATGTAAAAATTGAAGCAAACGTAGAAAATATGAAATTTGATACCACACCATTTCCATCAAACCTGTGTTAATCTTATTCTGTGAGCATGCCTTCTGGTCCTGGAATAACACTTTAACTTCTCTCCTGACATACAGAACCAGCTACGTAATTGCCAAGGCCTAGCACAAACTAAATGTAATAGATTACTTTCAACCCCCTTTTAAAAACAAGCTATTTCTCTTTGGGGTATGACTGATTTTCCCATGATTCTAGATCCCCAACTATAGAAAACTTTTAAAAGATTAACAATTAGAGAACATAGATACTTTTTGGGTCTTTATCTCCAGAAATTGGAGCTCCCCCTCGCTCCATCTTTGCAGCAGCACCTTTGTGGAAGTAAGTATCGGGCCACAGCTGGTTGGAGCCCAATGTATCCCCGAGTATATCACAAAGGGCAGTTCTCCTGAGAAGCTAGAACCTACTGAGCCATCTTGAAGATCATCTAATTTAGCATGTATCCACTGTGGAAGTAAGTGAGCTCTCAACATCAGGACTGAACCTCTCAACACTACGTGGAATGTCTTCCCAGTATGCAGCTTGATCTAGACTTCAAACATGGCTTGAGGTAGTCAGAAATGTTGGTAGTATATTGTTCCCTCCCTATGAGGCTCAGAGAGTCTGCATTCACACTCCACATGAATACCAAACCACAAGGGCGACAAGCCACATTCTATCCAAGTTACTGTAGTGAATATGCTGTTAAGTCTCTGACACCTACTGTAACTAAAACTGCTTGTCTAAGCAAACAACAGCAGGAACTAATGGTGAAAGCAGAATTTTCATTCAATTATTTCTCTAGATGTTAAGATGTTTAAAATCTATTTTATTAACAACAAAGAAAGAAAAATGGTAGCTAAAATAAAAGATAATTATACATCTTTAAGTCAATGTGACCTTCAGGATGAGAAAGGGAACTAAAGAATTTGGGAAGACAATGAGGTAGTTATATGCTAAAGCTCCATGTTCATTCACAATCCCCAGGAAGTCTTCATTTACAACCAGAAAGATGATGGATTCTTATTTAGGTTCTTCAACTTTGAATTCTAACAACATAGAGGATAAAAGATGGTAGCAGGTCCTGTGATGTTTTCAAGTTCTTCTTGAAATAAGTTTAAATATTTGCAGTACTTGAATTATAACCTTCCACCTAAACTAGTGGAAATAAGGCTCTGGGTAATATTCAAGCTTTTGTAAATCTGTTCATGTCGTATAAAATTTTGTTTAAGTTCAAACTCAAGCAAAAGGAGACCATCCTAAGAGTTGGGAGTGTGAGGAATTAGTCTCAATTCTGTTTTTTTTTCTCTAAACAGCAGAGGTGGGAGTCATTGTTCTCAGCCTCTCCAACTCAAACATTCTATGGTTTCTTTATTAATGACTCTATCCATGATTTTCTTCACTTATTGTATACTCTCTTGTGATTACAGTCCCTAAGATTCTGAGGATAGCCTACAATAAGGATCCATTCACATTAACACTATTTTGCAAATAACTTCTTTCCATCAAAATAATTTATTAGCTTAGGCCCTGAGACTAATGTCTCCAAATTTGAGTTTGAGAATGATTTGACTCCCATTTCTTTTGGGTTTCTGACTAAGTCTTGGAGTAGAAGAAAAGCAATAAAGTAGTTTCCTAAGAAGGGACTATGTTCTCTCAACTAACTCTGGAAAAATAAAGTTCAGCAACTCATTCCTTTTATATGCCCCCAGTTAAAATATTCTAGTGGCTATTCTGTCTTTTTTGTAGTGTTGGAGATTAATGCCCTGACTTCTCACATGCTTAAAAATGCTCAAACTGTTTGAGCTACATTCCCAGCCATCTCCACTGATTTTTAAACAATAATCTTCTGGAGACAATGGATCTACAAAGGAATAATGGTGTCCATTTCAGTACCATAGAAGGGCCAGGAAAGATACTACTAGGGGACAGATAGGTTAAAAACTAAAAGCCATCTGTGACGAGAATATAAATTAGGACAAAGGGTACTGAAGGCCTGAGAGTTCCTCTTATTCCACAAGCACAAAACATATTGGTAAGGGCCAAACTTGCAACAACAGCACAAAGGACTGTTTAATTTACTTTTACTTTTTGAGACAAAGTCTTCCTTTAAATCTCAGGCTTTCAGGACCTTTCTCAGATTAACCTTAAATTTAAATAACAGCAATCTCCTTCCTCAGCCAAGCAAATGCTAGGATTACTTGGATGTGTCACCACACCAGGTGAAGCTGTCCTCATTTATTATGCCTGTTGTCCACACTTTTTCAGAACAGTGAACAGTCAAACAGATTCCTATTTTAGATTCTTTCCTCCTTGGCTGTGTTTGGGGAAAAAGGAAGATGAGGAAAAAAGAGAGGAGAATAAGAAGGGGAATTTACAGGCTGGGATGGGGACCCATTTTGTATAATGTTCATATATTCACTCAGTGCTAGATGAGATAGAATTCGGAGACCAAGTCCTTCACCTCAGCACTGTGATTCATTAACTATGTGACGTTAAATAAGCTTTTGCTTATTTAGATTTGAGGATTCTCAGAGTATAGGAAAGGGGGAAACAAAAATGTATGACAGGAACTGTGGTAGTCTATAAAATGTGACAAATTATTTGATGAAGGTACAAACTGTCATCAGAAGTGTAGATTAAAGTACGTAATTCTTCCAGGACAAAGGATAATGAGCCGACAAGTTAGATGGATTCTTAGAAGAGAAAGGTTTTATCTATGTCTTAAAAGATAGAGAGATTAAACTGATGCTGTTTGTCCTTAGAAAAATCTTCGATCCCTTCCAGCAAAATCGGTAGTTTTCTACACTGCCCTTAAGGATCTATTTTTTATTAGGAACCCAAAGTAAGGACTACTTCTAATCCTTTACCGTCTTCCCAAAGCAAAGGGTTAAATGGTTTCCCCAGGACTATCAAGTGACTAAATGAATAAGTGCATAAGCAAATAAGGAAGACCATGTAGCCTTAACGCTTCAAGATCCTTAGCTTATTTACATGTATGTGGGAACCAGGAAAGCACCTTTTTTACTTTGAGTTCATTTCCTTGGGCATTTGTCTCCACTTACTTTGAGAAACCTTTGATCCCAAAGACAATTGCAATGTTATGGCCACTTCCTGTGCAAGAGATGAATGATGTCCACACACTCCACCCCAACCTTGATGATTGCTCTGTCCAGGATTGCACTGGGCTTCCTGTGAGAGGAAACCTACAGGCTGATGCAATGTGTAAGGTACACTCAGAACAGAATTAAAGAACCTCTTTTATACCTGTCTGGGAACAGAGGTTTCATTGAGGGTCCATATACAGCCAGTGGTACCAATAAAATAAATTTCCATATTTAACTCAACAACAGCTGAAATTAATTCAAAAATGGGTGTTTAAACATTTACTGCATGCAAAGTTTTGCATTTTCTATCAAGGGAAAAATAATACATAACAGTAGAAATAGGCAATGATTTACTAGAAATATATAATGTAAGCTGTAATGTGTTAATAACCACACCTTTTTTCATTTTTTTGAAGACAGGGTTTCTCTGTGTAGCCCTGGCTGTCCTGTAACTCACTCTATAGACCAGGCTGGACTTGAACTCAGAAATCTGCCTTCCTCTGCCTCCAGAGTGCTGAAACTAAAGGAATGCACTACCACCACATGCTATTTTTAATATATATGTGATGGTTGAGGGTTGTAGCTCAGTGCTTTCCTAGCATAACCAATACTCTGGATTCTAGCCAAACTACCAAAAATGAAAAAGTACCTGTATACAATGACTAGGTTATGTGAGTAAAAGAGCTACTGATACCTATAGACATATGAGAATAATGAAGACCTGATTAAAGGCAAATCTAATACAACTATATTTCTTGGTGAAACCAAGTAAATCATTGGATCTGCCAAAATAATTGTTTTAAACTATAATCACAATAATGAACAAATTTTTATGAGCTCATTGCATCAATCAGATAGATAGATAGATAGATAGATAGATAGATAGATAGAGATTATATAAGTATTAATCTAATATATCATCTTTACCATAGCTTTTTGAGAGCAGTATGATAATCATCCCTTTAAAATATATTTATTATTTGCTTAAGAATTTCACACAATGTGTTTGATCATGTTCACTCCCTTTCTGTAACTCCTTTCAGATCTACCTCACCTCCCTATTCTTATTTAATGAAAGAGGTAAGTAATGTCACAACTAGCAAATGGAAGAGGCAGGATTTCAGTGGTTTGTGTCAATCCATGAATGAATAGAATCTTGCAGTAATGTAAATAAATATACATATTAGCTATAGCTAAGAAATGTTAAACTGGGATCAGTTATCCTTTTATCTTACAAACGTGATCATATACTGAAAGCCTCACTAATTTATGATTCTTAGGCTAAGAGCTTTGCTAGAGCTCATCTTTGCCTAGCTTCTTAAAAGGACAAAATAAATGAAGCAAATAAAATGGTTTTTTAAGAACTGTAATTATTGTTCAGTGTTAGAGCACTTGCCTAGTATGTGAAAATCCCTGAGTTCAATGCTCAATACTGTAAAAAGAAAAGAAGAAAAAGAAAAAGGAAGGAAGGAAGGAAGAAAGGAAGAAAGAAAGGAAGGAAGAAAGAAAGAAAGAAAGAAAGAAACAAAGAAAGAAACAAAGAAAGAAAGAAACAAAGAAAGAAAGAAACAAAGAAAGAAAG